ATACGAAACATATTATATATATATATATATATATGCGTACATCAATAGGTGTAAATATATGTGGTGCATATTAAATATTATATACGGCTTAGTCATTTTTTATAGCACCTGTACGCTTCATGTATGCCGCATTCAAATTAACTTATCCTCTTGCCACATTTGCCATACTTACCAAAAGAAATTCAGTGTCTGGACATGACGCGTTATATGTCCACACTGATCCTCTTTCATGCATTCATACAAACTAAGAATGTGCTACTATTCACAATTTGGTACGTGTACATATAGGAAAGGCAAGCCCAAAAACCCACCTTGATGCTGCATCTGGTTTGCGTGGACCCCGTTGCACGCCCATGGACATTCTGCCGTTCATCGAATTGGCCTGACTATCACTCACAGTCTTGAGACCGGAGCGATTCATAGTGAAAGATATTTAGAGTATCCAAGTATGTATGTGTGCTGGATCGGATTCCGAAGCTGACAGGTGCTGCCCTATGCCAGCAACACAATTGAGATGGGACAATGTTGCGATTTTAATATTTCGCTGCCGTATTTATTTCTCGGCATCGATACGCATTCACTTGTACATATATTCTAGCCTTAAACGTTGTGTGTGCATATGTATAGGAAACTTAGCAGGCTACAATCTGCTGGAATATATTATTTATAATAATAGTGTATTTTAATAGTCACAACTCACACAAGAGAGCTTATGGCCATATATTTAGTATAGGTTCATACATATGTGATATAAAAATATATGATGTACATATATTAATTGTACATACGTCACTGCATCAAAAAAAAATTGCAGCGCCCACATCATTCGTTATCAAATTCACCCGCCTTGAAACACACTGTGTATTGATTGGACATTGAGCCCTATCAAAACTACCGGCTTTTGAAGCTCTATAAATAGTATGCACGACAAGTCACATGATTGTCTATTTACATTCGCACGTTGCGCGCACGACACTGAAAACTGGTTAAAAGCATGCTCTCGCAGACGATGCCGTGATCGACGTCTTATGCTCATTATCTATGTCCTATTTACATACTGGTGGTGATTATTCTGAGCCTATCAGCAACTTAACAAGTGGACCCAAATGAATTATTGTGTATAGTGCGCCAATCGGTGTATATCAATTCCAGTATCATAGTTAATAATAGATATCTTGTCATATTGTTGAATCATGACCGCGCTTCTATATATTTGAAGTTTGACCTTTCCGCTACATGTAGAGATATGGTGTCCCTCGAGACAGAAGGAAATATTGGCACCGGCACCCACCGACCTTATTCTAATTTCAATCGCTTGTGGAATGGTGCAATAACACCTTTAGGAATTGATATATTGGATATGAAAACACTCTCGTTAAACTCAATTTCAGTCTTCTTAACTTGATGTTAAGTACAATGAGAATAATTGCATCGACTCGATTGGAAACCAGTATTCAAAAGCATAATTTTATTTAATAGCCACAAGCAGTACTAAATAAATATGATATATATATATATATATATATATATGCATATATGCATTGATGATATATATGTAAGACATATGTAGAAATGCACGAGTATATAGAT